AATGATGATAGAGCTCATAGACCTTGAATTGGAATGTGGGAGACCCTTTAAGAGGAATTAATAGATAAATTCCTTTGAAATTCGACCTGGAATGAAAAGTAGTCTCTCGAGAAGTTGAAACAAATAGGCACACTTCAGGAAACATTCCACTCTGAGGTCATCCAATTTTGTGAACTGATGGAGATGCCATTTAGTTTATAGGTACCATCCCCGAACCATATAATCAGATTTGGCCACGGGAAGAGTTTAATTCTTGATCTTTGACATCAAGAGCATGTTAGAAGAGGACAACCTTGGATAAAGAAATGCAAATAAGTTAAGTTACGGAAGGCAAGGTACAAAGACCTTCCTTTTGTAAATGAAGCAATGGATAGGTTTGTAGATTTTGAGTTTTTCATTTCCCTCAAATGAGAGAAGAAGGACCAGTATGGGAAGAAGATACGTTTTGTCCATCCAAGATTGGGGAAGAAGTTTGACAAGAAGAAGGTGACGAACTCCTATCGAAAAACTAGAACTAGCCTTATAGAGGAGTAACACAGCCGCTACATTAATTTGCAATGGGCCTCGTTATGCAAAAGACTGGACCAAAAGGGAGAAGATGAAGCCCTCATGGCCTCAGTTGAGCCCTCTCCCGAGTCAATCTTCTACAACTACTAAATATTATTACCATAACAGCGGAGGACATTCAAAGTGTATATGTTGCTCATATTGAATCACAAGGATCTAATTATGATGGTTGCCATTAGAGTTATAAACTTCTTTGTAAATTGTAGAAAATCTCAGATTAAAGTTAAACAAGTTTCTTCTTGGTGTAAGGCTGTATGTTTTAAAAGCCTATCCTATGAAGGCTGTGGCTAACACAACTCTCAAGGTGAACTCCCAAGGACTTGGACTTGACCAAGCCTTGGTGGTTATCAGAGAATCACTTGATAGGCTGCTACAATTCGTATAAGTGGCATGTACAAAGTGCTTAACACACAGAAAGTGTCAACTACATGGCCGCATGAGCAATGTCTGGTATGCCAGCACATCCTAACATTATAGGTGACACCTCAATTTTTTTATAAGAGGACAGATTGTTGAGGTACTTGGGAAGTGTGAGCAGAGTGGCTTCCGTTATCTGAGAATCTTATTGGGAGTTGATTAAGATTGGGAGTGTATCAATATATTGTATTTGTTACTTTCTTGCAGCTTGAATATACCTGTCAATTGTCATACATATTTTGCACTGGTTTGGTGATTCTTTCAATATCATCATAGGATTATATTTGTTGTACAGCCTAATCCTCTAGACACTACAAACTTGAAAATGCGTCCATCGAAATCAAAATTTTGGTTTTCTTCATTTAATTCTTCATATAATACTTGAGTATGCAGATTTTTAATTCTTGTTTTCAACAATTGCAGTCCTCTACATCTTCTTGATCAGAAAAAATTAATAAAAATTAACTTTTTTCTTCACTAATATGTTTGATATTATAAATATGTGTTTTATCAATTTAATGCTTTATTTATTTTCTACTCTTATCCGTAAACTCAGGACATTCACCGCTCCGGTCAAGCTAAACAAATGTTTGATTGCTATTAAGGATAATGCATTTTCAGCTTCTGCATATCCTGTCATTTTAACTTTTGAAGACCACCTTCCACAGGAACTTCAAACTAAAGTAGCCCAGGTAAATATTAATCTAGAAAATGTAGATGTAACAATCTTATTTACTTAAAAAGTAGAGCATCTTCGTGAGGACAAGATTTGAAATTAGTATATGTGGTTCCTCTAGCAGTTTAATCTTGGAAACAGTTATTGTCCACGTGCCAAACATTTGATAAGAAATGAATTATGTTTGCACGTGACGAGATTTTAACGAATGCATTTGGTTCATCTCTAACAACTTAAGCTCTTAGATGAGATGATTAATGTTGTATCAAAGCCATATAGCTTCATTCATTAATTCTACAAATGGTCATTTAATTGTAGATACCACTACTTTGGTAAAATGGTTATCATAGACAGATTTCTGCTTTGATAGTTGCACCTTTCCTTGGCAAAATATCAGGCCTATATTTGCAGAAACTTGGTAAAAGTTAACCAATAGGATTTTTATATTCATAGAGACTTCAATTTGATTGCTTTCTTCTTTAATTGTTGCGTTTTTGCTGCTTTGCAGATATATAAATTGTACATGTACACCCGTCATGAAATTAGTTAGTACTACAGGGTGGATTATTACGTTTAAGAGTGTGAATAATCATTTCTTTGCACTATATTCACCTGGAAAATATGTTGATGAATTAACCTAATTCCAAATTTATGCTTTATTTTTTGTGCAGATGGTTAAAAGAATATATGGAGAAATGCTGTATCAGCCCAAGCCAGATTCTCAGGAGTTCCTTTCACCAGAAGAATTGAAGAAAAGAATTATTATCTCAACTAAACCACCCAAAGAATATCTAGAATCTCAGAGTCAAGATAGAGTAGGGAAAACCAGTGAATGTTAAGGAACTTGAAACAGTTCTTATGTTGAAACTAAAACCAAAGTTTTTAGTTATATTTTATCTTGCTTACTGTAGATCTCTTGTTTCTCTGACCATGGACTCCCCTTATGTGCGAGCAGGATCAGTTAAACGATCAGAGCAAAGACGAAGAAGAAGCTTTTCAAACTTCATCTCCTGAATATAAGCGTTTAATTGGCATCCATGCCGAGAAGGTGAAAAGCAACTTGAGAGAATCATTGAGACTTGAGCAAGGAAAAGTTAGGCGTCTTAGCCTTAGTGAGCAAGAGCTTAAGGATGCTGCAAAAGACCATGGAGATCATCTTGTGAGGTAATTGATTATTTTCGTGTTGAATCATTTACAGTTAGAATCTGAAATTAGTCAATTTAGATTGGAAAATGTTGAATTCACTAGTCAAAAACAATAATATGCAGACTTTGAGAATACTCGACATGTAATCCAAGTATACATACTTTCTGATCTGGCTGCCCTTCAAAGTTTAAAAGCATTTTCAGACTTGTGAATCTATCCTTACTTTGTAGACTGCTAAGAGACTGAGGCAGAGAATTGTAAAGGGAGTTATATACATAGGTTGTCATTGCGAAGCTTTATATTCGCCAACTAGGCAGCCAGCGACCAATATAAAATTTCGTTTAAAGTTTAATGACCACCAGTGTTTTTAACTCATTTCAAAAGCCTTGTGTAATTAGATTTAGGCTAGTACTGTGATTATTTAATGTATCCTTGTGTGTTGTAGATTTTATATTCGAGTTTAGAACAATGATGCGTCTTATGTGATCACCAGTAGTCAACAACTTGATGGTTATTCTTGAATTTTGCTCTTAGATTTACCCAACAACATTTGCTGAGGATATATCCCAAGGGTACACGCGTAGGTTCATCCAACTATAATCCTGTTCTTGGCTGGATTCATGGAGCTCAAATGGTTGCATTCAACATGCAGGTAATTTTGTATCCTACGAATCTTTTTGAGCCCCTTTTTCACAACCATTATTTTCAAACTTTTTTTTACATACTGATTTTCAATCATATATTCATACAATAAAATATTTTATACGTAAACCCAAAACTTTTCCCACTTTTTAATCATACATTCTCCTAAAAATCAATACTCAAAACTTTGTTTTCCTAAAAAAATGATTGTTGAATAAGGGCTTAGTAACATACATAGTTCTTTACATCAGATCTTACATTTTACTTCACCATCATTTCAAATTATAATTAAGCTCCTTGTACGTCACTTTTGTACATCATGGATGACGTTCAATATAAAAATTGATGCCATTGACTGTTTTAAGTGTTGTTAAAATCAATGGCAAAAATGTTTGCCTCATCATGGAGTATAGACAAATCTGTTAACTACGATGTAGGTGTAGCAAAACCGTTCAAATTAACACACTTCAACCATATTTCTCTGCAAAATTCTTCAACTTGGTTTTCAAGTTCCTATTTCCGGCAAAAAACTAAAATTGCTTGACCAAACAGGGAGATGACAGGTACCTATGGATAATGCAAGGAATGTTTCGAGCCAATGGCGGATGTGGTTATGTGAAAAAACCAGATATCTTAATGAAGGTCGGACCAAATGACGAAGTTTGTGATCTAACCCGGGCCGAGCTATTAGAAGTCAAGCAAACTCTGAAGGTGTATAAATTTCTCACAGTCGTTGTGTGTTCTTTGCATAGCTTTAATTTTAAATGTATGCATTGGTGACAGGTAAAAATATACATGGGAGAGGGGTGGCTTAGAGATTTCCATCTTACACATTTCGATTGGGATTCCCCGCCGGACTTGTACGCAAAGGTAAGATGCTTACATGACAGATGGCGTCGGGGAAAATTTCACGTTCTTCAGAATGGAAACTAGACCATCAATCTAAATCAGTAAATAATGGACCTCATAACAGAATTTTTTGATAAATGGGAAAATTCTCTCGTATTTTTGTATCTTACTGTTTGTACAGCTATGGCGCGGAAAATCCTGCGATCTTTATCGAGCTGTGAGACAAGTGACGTGTATATATGTCCTTATCAAGCTATCTGTTCGCCAATGTTTTAATAAGTTAATAGATTTATATTCATAATCATGCAGTTGAGTATAGTTGGAGTTGCAGCTGATTCAATTACGAGAAGAACCGAGAAGATCGATGATCAGTGGGAACCAGCGTGGGACGAGGAGTTCGAATTTGAGCTGCGTGTTCCTGAACTGGCTTTACTTCTTATCGTGGTTAATGATTATGATACGCTTAAAGAACACGAGTTTGCTGGCCAAACATGTTTGCCAATTTCAGAGTTGAGAACTGGTATTAGATCTGTGCCATTACATGATAGAAGGGGAAATAGATACAGACATGTAAGGCTCCTCATGCGTTTCCAATTTGTTTAATATGTATGCATGATCATATTTGTAAAGATGAAGAAAAATTAGTAAGGATACTTGGGTTTTAGTCCATACGATTGTGCCCCCTTCATTCTAAATCGTGATCTGACGCCGTATAATTTTCATATCATATGATTCATGGAAGTATCTATAACTAGAGATAGACTCGAAGCGACAGTTTCAAGTTAAAACCCAACCTACGGGTTATGGTACAGCAACTCAACAGAGCTGAGGACACTCTGCTAAGATCGAGTTATAAGATAGCGAGAAGCTCAAGCGACTGAGATATATAGGCCATGCCCGATAAGGGATGTCTCTTCACATGAAGCTTTCCTCTGTGTCAAATGCGTAATCAATAGCTATCAGATGCTACTTTACTTTGGCTTGCCATGCATTATATTTTTTGCTTTCTTGCTTGTATCTTTTCCATTCTCTAAGGACTGCAAGAAGCACATGCAGCGTAACTGGTAGAAAGAAGGGCTGTCAAATGACGAGACAAATAATTAGACTAATATCAGAGTTCAAGCAAGCACTAACACACTGTCTATTTGCACCAAATAAAAGACAAACATCTCGCCAAATGCACGACTTGCCCCAGGAAAGAGAAACAGGGAACAATACAAGATGAAAATAACTACAAAATTAGAACCTAAATTAACAAGTACGTACCAAATATAAATGAAGGCACACAGATCACCATGAACATGGAGGATAAAAAATCAACATCTCTTGTATTACATAGGCACGTACCTTAATTTAGCTAAAATAATACTATTACATAAGATCCGACTTTGGTTTTTAGCAAATTACTCCATAGCATAGCATCAAAGAATCCTATTGATCCCTCCAGATTTCCAGTTCTAGTTATGAAAATCATCGTAACTTTAGTGCCCTTGAGTCTCCAAATTTTCTCCCTTGGAGAAATGGTAGTACTAACTATGCTCATATTAGATGTAGCTAAAAGTCAGATTTTCAGTAGATTTCGATGAAAGTTGATGAAATGTGTAATTGAAAAGTTGATAAAAAGTTGCAGATCCCATGAAATGAATAGTTAAAATTAGATGTTGACTTTGGCTTTATTTTTATTTAACTATTTAAGCTACAACAAACATTGGCTAAATATGTTAAATTATGAGGACCAAAGCATGTTAATCAGCAAATGTACCAAAACAAGGTCTTCAATTGAATTCCAAACATAATTAGAATTGAATGAGCATTATTTGAAAGTAATTATTTCAAGGGTAATTGGCACAAAACGTCCATACCTTTCAACGTTATTGTGCAAAATGTCTACATTTCATTTTTTGGCATTTCACTCCTACCTTCCACATTTTATTGCGCAAACGGTCAGTTTCATCCATTTTTCCAATAAAATGACAATTTTACCTTTCTATTCAAATAAAACAAAAAAAAGGGGAAAAAAAATAAATAACTAATTGCAATCATAGTTCTAAATTTTTAAAACATTATAGCTTAATCCTAAATTTCCGCCACCACCACTTTCACAACCCTACCAAGCCACCACCTATTAATCTGCATAGTACGACATTCCAGCCACTATGCCCGTTGGACTCCACCACCACCAGCTCGCCTCACTCTCCTCTACTTGGAACCTACTCGAATTCACCGAAAAATCGAGCCAAAACAATCAGCTCACATTCCCAAAAACAATCGAAATTCTAATTCTGACAACACCTATGCCATGCCCAACATTCCAGTGAATTATACGCATCAAGGCGCCGCTTTCCATGGTCCCCAATCATCCATAAACACACAGAATCAAAACCAGCAAGCTACATCTTGGAACACAGTGACTAAGTGGCTTTCATACGAATTTTTCGACGGCGGTGGTGGGACCCATGATCGCGAACCACCACCACAAGCATCTACTCTTCATGACGCGTCCAATGAACATATGGGTCGTCCCCAATTTGCCCTCGAAATGATAGTTAATGGATTAAGAACAACCCGCCCACGCAAAAGAGGTTTTCTTCCATCAGTTCATGGCTCAAATGTGATTCAATACATAAATCAACATGGGAGAAATGAAATTCAGGGTCAAAAAGCATTGGGTAATTGCGAAATTACAGCACTTGCTTATCAAATTTGGAGTCAAATGATGTTCATCACAAATCGATAATTGTTGATCCAAGTCCTTTAACTTTTGGGCACAATTCCTACAAATTGATACCACCATTACAGCCCTAGTGGTGGTGGGCAGAAAGTGGTACTATGCGGATCAATAGGTGATGGCTTGTTAGGGTTGTGAAAGTGGTGGTGGAGGAGAATTTAGGACTGGGCTATAATATTTTAAAAAAATTAGGACTATGATCGCAATTAATTAATTATTTTTTGTTTTGTTTTATTTGAATAGGAGGGTAAAATTCCCATTTTATTGGGAAAATGGATGAAAATGACCTTTTGCGCAATGAAAGATGGAAGGTATGGGTGAAAATGCCAAAAAATAAAAGGTATAGACGTTTTGTGCCAGTTACCATATTTCAAAATCACTTTTTCCCATATTTATTTTTCAATCGCTTATTCCACCAAAAAAAATTTATTTTTCACATTTTCCCAAATCCTTTCCCTATTTTTAACCATACGTTCTCCAAAAAATCACTTTCCCGCAAGCACTTAATGTTATTTCTTAATCATTACACAGGTTGTTCTCCTGTCTACCTCGTGGAACACCAAGATGAACATATCTAATAATCAATATAAACAAATTTCAGTGTCAGGGGAACGAACCGAATAGACGGCAAAACAGTGCTCAAATGAGTAATAGCTGACAGACATCATGGATGGGTGATAAAATGCATCCTCAGCCAATAATCTAGCTTGTCTTGAGGACTCTGGGAAGAAATAGAGTTAATTTATAGAATACTTGAAAGAAGATGTTTGAAAACAATCATATCCAAATTGCAGATCGATTAAAACATACCAGCAGAAGCATCATAAATTCCGAGCGATGCGTTACTTAAAGTCAATTTTGCAGCTTCAAGAGAATACTTCACCTGCTCGATAATATTAAAAAATCGAGTTTTACTTATTTTTACAAGAATAACATAAATCAAACTGACAAGTAACGAGGAAATGCTAGGAAAAAAGAATTTCCCGAAGCAAATGAGAGCGAAATAAGAACCACAAAGTGAAGCACCAAAACAATAAGAATTGAAACAAGTGCAGTTCAAAGCAAATATATGACTTCCACATTCGGTATCACTTCATTCAGGATCTTGACAAGGCCATTTAAACTAATATGAAACTAGAAAAGAAAAAGATATTAGGAAAATATTATTCATAGTTAATTTCTCAATTTTCTCTAAAGAGAATTATATAAAATTGATTGGACAATTTTATCATATTTTTGGAATTATAAACATCAATATCTAGCAAGATGAGTATAATTGACAAATGGACATGCACAAGAATGACATCACCAGTAACTCTTTCTTGGAAAGTATAGAAAAGGAAGGATGACTCAATGTAAAATAAGAGAAAATTAGAAGTTACATGCTATCTTATATCAACATGCTCACATTCAGCAGAACGGAAACAAAAATATAATAATACGATAAAGATAAAACCAAAGAAAATATGGTAATCGTAGTGGCTCTCCAAGACCCAACATTAATGAATACAAATCAAGGCAACCATATTTTTTATCAGATTCAGAGAAGATTGCAAATAAATGGCTGAATAATGACGTTCTTTAAAAACACACATCCCAGAACAAAATTGCAAGAAGATGATAAGAGTCAGAAAACATATAGGGATAGACCACTTTCAAAGGCAATAATTACCTGTTTTCCTATATCATCCATTATGATCATTCTTGGAAGTGATTGAACCTGAATGGATAATTTAGTTATAACCAAATACTCATAATAAAATCATAATAAAATAATTAAGATCTAATCACATACCAATCGAGAAATTGATCCGAGAGTTGTGCCACATTGAAGAAGATTAAAACATGAGTGCTGCCGTGACAATACATCCAATTCCCTTAAAGCATGGAAATTAACAACACAGTCACAACCAGGCTTCACTAAACGATCACAATTAAACATGCAGAGTTATTTAACATGATACATGTTAACAACATTATACCCTTGTTTGAGCCACATAATTTTCGAAAAAATGCATTTTTGAATGGTGTATTGATGGAAAATATGTGGTTAAAAAATAAGGAAAAGTTTTAGATTTGCGTGTAATATTATTTTATTGAAGAATGTGTAGTTGAAATGATATCAAATTACTGTTTAAGAATGTATTTTTTTCAAATAATGTGGATCAAACGGGCCTATAAATGCTATATCATTCATTTTGCTAATTATTTACATTCACCATTTTCAAGATAATGAATAAACTAATGGCGAATGCTAAAATTGAGTCACCAAATCAATTAAACAAGGAAAAGATAAAACAAATAGATAATTGCAGAGAATATACAAAAGTAAAAGAAGAAAAAAAAAAAAAAAAAAAGCAAGCGAGTTAGAAAGTTTAGTGTCTTTTTTTTTTCTTTTTTCTTTTTTTCTTTTTTTCTTTCCTCTGTCAGAAAAAGAAAAGTTGAATTTTACAACGTGCCTTCTTAATGTCCAAAATCTGCTACGGTTATCATGCAGATAATCTGTTCGTAGGTGCAAAGAATCACAAGAACTACACCCTTTCTAGAAATAGATAGAACATATTAGATGATACTTGTCGTGACACCTAAGTTTTAATCTTCTTTTTCTTTATTTATTTATTTTTTTTAATTTTTTTCCCTCATGAAGTTGTTCAATAACTAACTAGTGACGGGTGGAATATGCAAAAGTCCTTAGTGTTTCCTTCCTATGCTTGTGATAGGGATTAGGGTTATGTCTCACCATTCTGAGAACCCTCTTTCACTAGCTAAAAGTACGGATGTGCCTGATGCACCAACAAAGAGACCATCAGATTTCAAACCAAAGAGTTGCCGCAACTGCCCCATGAAAATTTCAAAAACTTTCCTTGAATCCTGTTTCAGAGAAATACATGTATTAATCTCAAGTGAAATAGTGACACTAAGCACGAAAGAAACGCAAAAAAAAAAGATGAGAACGTTTGAAAACTAGTCCAACTACAATAAACTGAAGTGGTTGTCATTACGTGTTCTTGAGAAAATATGGCATGTAAAAAAGAGGAGGAATAAGAAAAATATATTTGAATTAGAAAAAGTCAGGGCACAACAGCTACTGACCTCAGGAGGAATCTTACGTCTCAGAGGATGCTTAAGTTTTGAATCCATCAAACAGGCTGAAGGATTCCAAACAACAATTCCACCCCACATCTGGGCAATGACATATTTAAAACTTCTAAGACTTTGAACGGCAAAACAAAAAAGAGAAGGAATTTTGATGTGAAAGCATATAACTCACTGGAGATATAAAGCCATTAGTTGTGGAAATCTCTCCATTCGGAAGCTGCAACCGAAGAGGGCACTCTTTTGCGGATGGTACATATCTGCATTACGAAAAGAGGAAACAGAACAAATTATATTTGTGAGATGTAATTGAAGGTTACAGATTTGAGTGTTCATCTACTTACAAATTCATTTATTTACTTTTTAGAATGGAAAGTATAGCATATCCCTTCTTTCTTTCTATTTTTCTCTTCTTTTTCCCCCCTGAGGGTGGTGAGGGGACATTTCTGTATCTAACTACAGTATCTCAAGATTAGGAACAACTATATGCTAATGTTTTGAGAAATATTTTCATAACATCTTCACAGGAGACAATCATTGAGAAAAGTTAAATAGTTAAAGATTATACACCACAAACTGCAAAATTTTTGATCTCCCGCCTGCTGCAACTGAAGTATCCAAATGCCACTCATTTGAATTCACCTATGAAGCATGAACAAATAAGAAATTACTATCCGATGACTTGGGGAAAAATTACGCTAACAAGGTCTGGAATAAAGGAGCCAACATATGTCACGAAAGAAAACTTCAACAATTACAGAATGAAGAAAATAATAGTATACAATGATAAACTTTTAATTTATAGAATATAATAGCATCATAGGGAAAGTAATCACGACTAGACATATTACATCAAAATGTGACAAGCACAATTGCATTATGAACTAGGAAGTAGGTTAACAGCTGCATCTTCGGGGTTGTATGGTAAATAATATGTTTTGTGGCAGATGTCAGAATAGGCAGCAAATTAACAAAAAAGTACACTGTGTCCAGTGTCTTGATTATTAAAGAATGAAAAGGTTAGTATTTTTCTTGAGTCTGCATAGGTAGTACGCGAACAAATAAATAAACAGTAATACACGTGAATATATTATGTTATATTATACATATTTACATCAGTATACACGCATACAACAAATATTGATTGCATTAAGGCATAATAAATCTCTAAGATAGATCCTAGGTACATCTTCATTTTACTTCTCCTCATTACCCAAATAAATAAGATTTCCCAGAATAGCAATTTGAATAACTAGCATACAAAGAAAGGAAGATCTTTGGTACTGAAAATATAGCTGTCCAGTTTGTCGTCCCAAATAGAAAATGAGGCCTTTGGGGTGTGATATAAAACCTGTACATGAAAAACGACAAAATATTATAACGCATCAAAAGGAAATCTAGAAATCCTAAGGAAAATACCACATTTGGAAGAAACTTTAAAAGTGTATCTTGAATAAATGGTAATGCAACAAAAAAAAAAAAAACGCATTATGACCTGACTCTCCACGCTAACATCTGCCAGAGGTTTTAGTGCTGCAATAATAGGAGTCAAGAGATTTTCATCTATCTCTCGGAAATCCCTGCAGAATTAATTTAGATGGATTACATTCTACAGCAGAATCAGTGGATTTAAATATTATAAATGACAATATTCTTAGAGTTCTCCATCAAAGGGATTGAACATAAATCATGCATGTCTGTATAAATAACGTGTTGTAAAAACAAAGATGTAAAATTACAAAGCTTTTGTATTATCTAAAACACCATAGTCAAAATATTTAATGAATTATTTTTTGAAGATCACAAAAACTCTGGAGATAATAGCTACTAGAGTTATTTCCTAATATGTACTAGAAATGTCACCCATTCATAACATATCCGAAATTGAAAAGATTTTATTGCAGGCATATGTACGCTAAGTTCACAAAGCATTAAATGAAGTTCCATACCAATCATATATCCAATCATGCGGATCAGCATTCAACAAATTGAATGAAAGCACAATTTTCCCATCCGCCCCGACCGGCATAAACTCCCCATGAATCAATCCTTCCTCTTTCCCACCATTCACAAATACTTTAACAAAAATCTCCGCTATCTTCTCTACGGCCTGCTCCTCAAAAACTCTACCCATAATCCAAGCATGGCGATACTGCCCCACCACTGCACTCACTTCCTCCTCTTCAGTCTTTACCACAACCACCGTATAAACCTTCCCATTGCTATTATTATTATTATTATTATTATTATTATTATTATAAAAAACAGACTCTAAATACTCGTCTAAAAGCCCATCATCACGCTTCTCAGCAAATTTGAATTCATTCAATGCCCCGCATTTCCAATCCACATTATTCCCGTTAGTAATGCAGTTGGAGTTAGAGTCTATGGTTACATATACCGTGAAATTACTAGCACAAGTTCCACAAGCTGGGGAATTTTTCGTAGCCAATTTTGCCATGTAGGCTTGAACCGAAACCGACAATTGATCGGCAGTATATGAATTCGGGTCAAAATTGACAAATACAGCTCTGAAATGGCAAGGAAAGAGAATTGGACTCGATTCAATGGCGGTGGATAAATCATCAATTTCGCGAAATGGAAGTGGCGATCTGTAAATCTCTATTGATTTTAACAAGAACGGAAGACCTGTAAAGATTAAAAAAAATGAATTAACATGAACACGATTCTTTAACACAACAAAAACACAATGCATACACATCAGAGTTAACCTAAGAGATACGAGAAGAGAACAGTGAGGGTTAGGCTTAGGCGTTTCAATCCCGGCTTGGATTTTCGCATGGTTTCCGGGTCGAAGTCCGGATCCGTAGTTGAAGTTGACGAAGCTTCTGAGATTTCCGCCATCTCCGAGTCGTTCCAAGAGATACAGGAAGTTGCAGCTTTCAATTGGAAGAGTTCTAAAGGTTGTCAATTATTTACTAGTAAAATATTTGAAAACCATGCCATCTTAGCTCAGTGGGTAGAACGTATGGCTTTATAACATGTGGTCGTGGGTTCGATTCTCGCAGACAGCGAAGATCAATATTCTTAAGTATTTTTAATTTTTCTTTTGGGGAGGACATGTAGTTTGACTTTAGTACTCAATTTGAGACTTCATAGGCTAATTTATAATCTTCTGTGTACTCCAGTGTCCATTTCAGCATGTTACCTATGATTGTGCCCGTACATGTTTCCCTCCAAATTTCTTTAGTGTTTGTATAATGCTTCCAAGAAAACGGCTCCCAGAGATTTTTAAATCTTTCCTATTAACCAGCAAAGACGGGGCCACCATTTCCATAACTCATGCCTTGATGATTACTTCTGGTGTCTTTAGCCAAGGAACGCTTAATGCCCTATTGATATCATCGTATAGCCGAAATGGTTGCATTGAATTAGCCCGTAATTTGTTCGATAAATTACCTAAAAGAAGCATAGATTCTTGGAACGCAATGATCGTTGCTTATTCAAGGCAAAATTGTCCGCTTGAAGTGATAAATCTTTACAAACAGTTGAGGTTGGAAAGAGTGAAACCCGATAGCTCGACATTTACAGTGGCTATCAAGGCGTGTACCGGCTTGTTGGACTTGAAGTTGGGGATGGAGTTGTGGGTAAAGGCGGTGGAATCCGGATATGCAAACGATGTGTTTGTGGGTTCCTCTGTTCTGAACCTGTATGCTAAGTGTGGGAAAATGGATGAAGCAATGGGTGTGTTCGAGAGGATGCCTAAAAGGGATATTGTTTGTTGGAGCATGATGATCAATGGATATGTGAAGAGTGGGAAAATAAGAGAGGCGTTTGATGTGTATCGAAGAATGCAGCAAGACGGTTTAGAAGGAGATGGGGTTGTGATATTAGGGTTGATACAGGCTTGTTCCAACGTTGGGGACGTGAAAGTTGGTCGCTCAGTGCACGGGTATATAATTAGAAGAGGTTTTCCGATGGATGTTCTAGTTCATACAAGCCTCGTGGACATGTATGCCAAGAATGGAGAGTTGCAGATTGCTTCTTGTGTATTTTGGAACATGTGCTCTCGGAATGTTGTTTCTTGGAGCGCTTTGATTTGTGGGTATACACAAAATGGTTTTGCTGGAAAAGCACTGGAAATGTTGATTGAGATGCAGAATTTTGGATTTGAGCCAGACGTCGTTTCGCTTGTTAGTGCCCTGGTTGCATGCTCTCAAGTTGGATACTCAATTTTGGGTCGATCAGTACATGGATATACTGTTCGAAGACTTGACATGGATCAAGTTTTAGGTACCACATTGATTGATATGTATGCAAAATGTGGATCAATTTCTTATTCTCGTGCAATATATGATCTCCTGAGATCTAGGGACGTGATATGTTGTAATACTATGATAGCCAGCTATGGGATTCATGGAAAAGGAAAGGAAGCTCTTTCACTTTTTGGTCAAATGATAGAGTCGAATTTAGAACCAGACCATGCTACGTTTGCTTCTCTTCTCTCAGCATTGAGTCATTCTGGATTAGTACAGGAAGGGAAATACTGGTTTGATCTCATGCTTAGTAAGTACAAAATTCAACCAGATGAGAAGCATTATGCTTGTTTGGTTGATCTTTTGTCTCGAGCTGGACAAGTCGAGGAAGCTCAGAATGTGATCAATTCCATGACATGTGAGCCAGGAATGGCTGTTTGGGTTGCCCTTTTGGCAGGTTGCCACAATCATAAGAAGTTTTCTATTGGAGAGCCGGCAGCAAAAAAGATTCTTGAGCTAAACCTGGATAGCACAGGAATTTATGCTCTAGTTACAAATTTCTTTGCTGCAGCAAGGAGGTGGGATGAAGTGGCTACAGTAAGGAAGATCATGAAAGAGAAGGGGACAAAAAAAGTACCTGGCTGTAGTATCGTGGAAGTGAACGGGGGACTCCACGCTTTTATTGTGGAAGATAAGAGTCATCCTCAGTATGATATGATTATGGAAATTTTGGAGGACCTTGAGCATGAAATGATAGCTATTGGTTATGTACCAAAGACTGAATTTGCGTTTCACAATATCGAAGAGGAAGTGAAAAAAATAAAGATGTTTAATAATCACGGTGAATGACTTGCTATTGCCTTCGGGCTGTTGAACACCAGGCCAGGAACCAGACTGCTGATAAAAAAGAACATCAAGAGTATGTGGGGACTGCCATGAAGCGAAAAAATTCAATTCCTTAATAGTGAGGAGAGAACTTGTCGCAAGAGATGTGAAGCGATTTCATCACTTCAGGAACGGGATATGCTCATGCGGTGACTACTGATGAAGCTTCTGGTTATATTCCAAATACACAAATGCATGAAAAATCTAAGAGGGAGTGAAGGTGATAATATAGCTGATGGATAATGCCCCAGGACTCTTGGAAATCTTCTGTGGCCACAATAATTGAAGTACCTTAAGCACTTGCTATTTTCCTCATGTTCTCAAATTGAAGTGCTGTTGATGGTAACTAGCAGAAGGAAGACTAGGTGCATCCTTCGCGTGCAGCCTGGCCAATTAGATAATGGCTGAAGTCCACGTCAAGAAACTTTAATTACAAGGAGGTTTCAGTAATAGTCGGGTCTTCTAGAAAGTTTCCTTATATCTGCTTTGCTTGAGAGAAGATGCACTCTGCATTCTGCATGGCGAATGCAACCATTTCAAAAAAGCACGTCTTTCCAGCAGTCGTTTGGTGGATTTTTCTTGTGATGTAGCCTTTTGTTTTCTGAGTGCAAAAATGTATTCTGCATCAAAATTCGAGAATGATCATCTATTAGCTCAGATGCTAGAATAAGGTCCACATACGACAATGGAGGAAGGCAACCCAATCTGTTTAGGATCTTTATTTTTTTCTGGATCAATGCTAACATAGGCTATAAAGCATTGGGAAAATCTCATGTGCAACACGAATAGTCTTGGTGCTCATCGTATAAAGATTTTTCATGAGTTTTGAAACCGCCTCAATAATTCAACTGAAAATCATTGTACGATTTGGTACTGTCTCAAGAAGACAAGAACCATGTTGATATAGAACTTGCACAATTTCAAAATATAGTATCTCTAATGTCTCGTTTAAGACAATGTGCATTTTCAGCTTCTCAAGAGAAGTTTGTCTCAAATTGAAAAGAGGAATTGAATGGCGTTTCAGTTGTGCATATGTTCAAAAAGTGTTGAATTTTATATATAATGTTAATGCCTTGTTTAGGTTTTGCGCTGGGGACTTGCTCGAGACGTGTAGTATTAATACCCATGGATATAATTTATAAGTGACACATATAGTGATATATAAATACAATAAAAATCATGTCAACCCAATATCAAATGAGCCAAAACAATATTGATTTCTATAAATGATGAATCAAGCTTTAGTCAATTTTGTAGACTTTCAGTATACGTAGCGTTGATGTTTAATTCGTCCTCAATGCATTTTATACATTGGTGTCTTTTATTTATTTTTAAATAAGAATAGAATCTTAGTTAGCCCTTGTTTGAGCCACATTATATTCCACATAATGCATTTTTGAACATTGTATTGATGGGAAATGTTTGGTTAAAAAATAAAGAAATTTTTTGAATTTGCGTGTAATATTTTTTATTGAAGAATACGTGGTTGAAATGATATCAAATCACTGTTTAAGAATGTATTTTTTTTTTTTAAATGTAGCTCAAACATAGCCTTAAATTTAGATTGAAAAATATAAATTTTCCTAAATCATTCATCTAATAGATATTCTCAATCTAAACGTTTGATATTATGACCTTGTTTGGTAAATGATCAAAATTTAAATTTTAATCTATATCAAAATCAACAATTAATTTTAATTAATATTTCATGAAACCATTTCAACAACACGTCATTAATATTTATCAAAATTTATTGAAAGTCTAATTTTAATCTTCACCAAATTGGGGCTACTGGGGCTATCTGATTTGTACAACATGGTCTATTTTTGTTGGGTGACTCAATTTTTTGTGCAATACAATATGCACTTTGCGTTGGAGATGTACCACCATTTGGCGTTCACTAGACTTGTCGACGCTTGAGTCATCAGTTCCCTCTCATTTTTAAACCCATGTAAATAATAATTATGTTGTATGTACATTATAGTTAGCAGATTTATTTATTAACATATGATGTGCATGGTATTTGATTGAATTAAAATTTCATAAATCAAATAAAAAAATTTAACCATTTTATTTGTGAACCGAACTAGATGTATAGAAATTTTTTCATAGAAGTACTCTAGAACTTTCACGGCAAGGGTGGGTGGGTGAATATTTTGTCAATTTTTAATTTTAATTAAGGTGTGGGGGATGTAGAACCCCAAATAATTCTAGACACCTTAGTGGCACTAAGACATGAATATTGGATAACTAAAGTATACTACAGATTTTTAGTCTCATTTGAGACCCATTTTCGACATAGGAAATATTCGATTTGGAAAATGATATCTAAATAAAAATTGTAACTATTTGAGTTAGCTTTCCAACGCACTTTGAATTACCTCAATCGAATATCGAGAGAAGAAGTTATGATAGAAACGCTGAAAGTTGTGCAGTGTCAGCCGGACTACAACTGGTCGATCGAAACTGTCTGAAATGAAAATTCTCGTTTTTCTCTAAAATTTAAATATTTATTTTCATCAATTATTTTCTCAAAGGGCCACCCACATTTTTGGTAATAAAAACCCCTCTAAATTGAAACATTTAACCTCAAACTTAAATGACACCCATGTTTTATTTCTTAAATGAAATTCGACCCTTCATTTGTTTTAAGTTATGGAATATTTACCTATAAATAGAAACCTCATTTCATTCATTTTTTCTCACACCAAAAGCAAGAGTTTTTACATACTAAAAAAAGAGTTTCCAAGGGAGAAAAAGAGAGGGAGGAAAACTATTTTTCCTAAAAGTTTAAGAAGTATTTTCAAGCATCAATTCTCAACGATTTTCAAACATTCAAGGAGTGCATTTCTTTCAACGTCCAAGTTTCATCGAAATTTTCAATCCAAGTTTTCAAAATTTCAAAAGCATCAATCAAGGTAGGTAGAGGTTCAACGGGTTTAATCGTGTTAGGTTATAAGTTTTGATTCGTGTTAATGTTTGTATGTCAAATGGTACTCCGATACGACATACCCCTCTACGTTGAAAAAATGTTCGTATGTCAAATGGTGTACTCGGATACGGCATACCCCTTCATGAAAAAATGGTGCCTCCGAGTACGACATGTATGAAAAGTTATAAAGTTAATGTTTTGAAATGTATAGCTTGATCACGAATGCACCTATGACACCTATTGAGTTTTTCAACTCACGGGTTTAATCCCATCTCTACAGATTGAAGGAATTCTACTTCGGGCATGGATGGAGGAGAAGATGGAGAGTAATCACGAATGCACCTATGACACCTATTGAGTTTTTCAACTCACAGGTTTAATCAAATCTCTATAGATTGAAGGAATTCCAATTCGGACATGGATGGAGGAGAAGATGGAGAGTGATGCAACGAGCCCATGGAAATCCGGTGGATAAGTGATTTGAATTTATTTTTATGAAATGTTTTCCAATATTATTTCTTTAAAATTTTGAATAATGCAGAATGCGAGAACAAGTTATATTTTCTTCAAATAAATTACATTTTATTGTTTTGAAAAATAATTCAGTGTTTTTGTTTAAAGCATTTGAAGTATTGTTGTTTAAATTATTATCCGAAAATGTAAACTTCCGCTAAAACGTATATACTTGTTACTAAACTATCGATTAAGCTAAATAAAATAAGTAGCGTTCTGATCCACTAGGTGTCAGGACGTTACAATTATAGGGTCAATTGATCTTCTAGACTGAGGAAATTTTGTTTTTTTGTTTAGCTTTTTTTAATTAAAAAATAACCTATAAATTTTCTTCATGCCCCTAACTCAAGTAGTCTGGATTCGTCCTGGACATGAGGCAACTCAAAAGAGTTCTCTGCTTACGAGGGGCTTCAGCCTTTGGACACATCGTCAATTTATACAGGATTATATAAATGGAGACAAACAACTAGCATTTGCCCGTAAATAAACCCACTCACACGTCCACACACGCCACACTCACCTGCCAGTAGACACACCGATGGTCGAGGCAATCATGGTGGATACTGGTTCTGAACTCTTCAAAAGCTAGTTTTGTTGTTCCCGACCACCCTCGTTCTATGGTAATTCACCACTCTTTTCACCCTTTTGTGCTTAATCCTCTATTAAATGATAATTAACAAATGGATGGATAATTTACTTGGGAAAAGCTTTTAACTGAAGTTAAACCGAGAAGGGTTTCGGTAATTTCAGAAGATTCTTGAAGTTCTCTTACGTGAGTATAATGCTTCTCGTAGGGTTTCTTTTTAGGTTAAGTTTTTAAGATGACTTAATTTACGTGTTTTCTAGGGTTTGATTGGATTACCGAGAAACATTTATGAGAAAAAGAAGGATGGATTTTTCAAAATTTCTGTCAAAATGTAATGATATAAGGTTTTCCAAAATTTTTGGAGTTTTCTCTAGTTGGGCATACTATAGTCACGCTTTAAGTAGTTTGTTTTTTAGGTTAGGTTTTAAGGATGAATTCCTTTATTGGTTTTCTATGGATTGAGTGGTTTGTGAGAAGCATAATGGACACCAATTGCTTAGATAGGAAGAAGGAAGGATTTTTCAAATTTCTGTCGAATGTAATAATGAAGAAAACTGAGTTTTGAGGTCTTACCTTCCTTTTCATCCCAGTGGAGCAGTCAGTTGTTTAACTTGAATGCTTTAAGTAGCTGAAATTTTTATGCACTTGACTTGCCTACTTTCTTGAAATTCACGGTGATGCTAAGGCCTACCAGATAGGTTTATCCTTGGCACGATAGATGAATCTTGAAGATAAAGAAACTTTAAATGCATTTATAACCATGAACAAGGAAAATCTAGGTTTCTTCTCCCTTGTCATCAATTTATTGGAGTGCATCAGTTTGCATTTTGCTGCATGAAGTTGACCTCATATCTATCTATACATGAATTCATGATTTTCCATGGTGTTCACTATTGCCATATCAGTCATACAAATAATAATTTATTTTGAATCAGGTGGAAAGATATTTCAAAATATCTGTGTAAAAGTTGTGTTGGTATTTTGGGCTCTTAAAGTTGTTAGTTATTAGATGCAAAAAAAACGTTGTCGAGCACATTAATGATAGTTTTTAAAACTTTTACTGATTATGCTTCGATGTCAAGGAGTACCATTACAATTTACATGAGAAAAAAATGTCAAAATCTTGTCCTTTGCATGAAAAGTGCTCTGCTTGGATTACTCTACCAATCTGTGTTTTCCTTCACCACACACTCTTCGCCTGGCACCAGGCATAACCTTTGAAGAAATTCATTGCATTTGGTGCTGTAATTTGGATGGTTCTAAGCAGCTGAATTTTGTGCATGTCATCTGTATACTCGTGAAAATCATGCCAATCCTTAGAAACCTCTAAAGACATAGCACTTATCACATTAGTTTTGTATTTTGACAGAATGAAAATTCAAATGCATTTGTTGCCATCGGACATAATGAGTAAGAGTAGCCCATGTTTGGTATACATTTTTTGAGAATATATTTTGTGAAAAGTGGGGTTCCAAACCTGCAGCGACTACTTCTCTTCTATTTTAAAAGCAAGGGCATTTTTTTAGAATGTGTTGTTAAAATGTAAGGAAAGAGTTATGAGTCCACGTTCAAAATTATTTTATTGAAAGAATGTATGATTAAAAATGAGTTTGGGAAAAAATAAGTTCTAAAAATGGGGCCAAACAAGGGCTTATTTTTTCATTTCCATTGACTTGTTAAATTCATTAAATTGTTTGTAGATCAGAATATCCTCAGATCCATTCATGTACTGATGAAACCAGGGACTCGAAATGCACGGAGGATGGGGAATTTTTGCTTTTATTATTAATTTTGTTGTTTAATTAGGGGTTTTTATGTCCTTTTCCTTTTCAAAGATGAGGTTTTTTTTTTTTTTTTTTTTTTTTA